CGCCGCCTCCCTGCGCCCCCCGCCCCGCCCGGCGATGGGCCGGGCCGAGCCCGCCGTGCGCATGCGCGCCGCGGTCCCGCCCACCGGCCCGGGCCCTCCCCGCCGGAGCCACGCCCACCGGGCCACGCCCTTCTGTGCCCCGCCCCCTGGTGACAGCCCCCGGCTGTGATTGATGGCCTGGGGACGGGAAGCGGGCTCATTAGTTGCTGGATATTTTTTTTTTTTTTTAACTGCTATTTTGAAATTTTTTGTGTGTTCTGTGTGGGCTCCTGGTGTCGTATGGAAGTGCCACAGGCGGGCGGGCCCCCGCCGGGGGGGGGGGCGGGGGGGAATGGGGGGGGGGGGGGGAGGGTCCGAGCATTTGGGGGGTTTCTGAGCAGCCCGGAGGGGTCCGAGCATTTGGGGGGGTGCAAGCGTGGAGGGAAGGGTGGCCTGAGCGGCGCAGGGGGAGGGGAGCGGTCCAAGCATCGCTGGGGCGTTCTGAGCATCCCAGGGGAGCTCCGAACGTCCCGGGAAGGATCCGAGCATGCCCGGAGGGGTCTCCTAAAATTGCAGGGGGTGCTGAGCATCCCAGAGACACGCCAGCATCGCAGATGGTTCCGAGCGTCCCGGGAGCCTCCGGGCAGCCGAAGGGGACCCCGACCATCGCGGGGGGCGGGTGTCGAGCATCCCGGGGTGTTCGAGCAGCCCCGGGGGCCACGAGCATTCCCGGCGCTCGGCCCCGCCGCCCTCCCCCGCCCGCAGCTCAGACGCGGCTGTTCCCAGCGCGGAGCCGGCGCTGAGTGCCTGAAAAGCGCCGCCGACACCGAGGGAGGCGGGAGGCGCTGGGCGCGGAGGGGACAGCCCGGCAGTGCCACCGCTGCCGCCGGCCCTCGGCAGAGAGGAGCGAGCAGGTCGCTGGGTACCGCGGGGACCGGAGCGGCGGCAGCTCCTCCCGGTACCGGGCAGCCGCTCCCCCGCCCCCTCCAGGCACTCGGGGACGGAGCTGGAGCACAGCCCCGCACCAGGACAGCTGGATTCCTCCTTCTCGCCGAGTTACTAAACTTAGGAAAACATCAAATCTGTCTTTCCCCCCACCCTTCCCCCCTGGATCTTCAGCTTCTGTTTCACGGGGTTATTCCGCAGGGTCCCGGAGCACTCTGCGGTGGAAGGGCCCGTCCGGCTCCAAGCCCCGCTTTTCCTGCTCACGTTCAGCTGTCACCAGGTTCTGCCTGACAGAGCCACAAACCCCTCAGCAGCCCGGACGCCCCGAGTCCAGGGCTCTCCATCACCTTCCCAAGGTCAGCACAGCAGGTCCCTGCTGCCGTGGATGTCCCCCCATGGCTCACTGCCAAGCAGCTGCCTCCAAACCCTTTGTCCCAGCTGGGCCATGGCCTTACAGGGCCCTTCCACAGCCAGGACTTCAGGAAACCTCCCCTGACCATGCTAGCCCAGCACACTCCTTCCCTGGAAAACCAGAGACCAATTCCCAGCTCCCCCAAGACCCCACATGCCCAGACATTCCCACTCCACATGACACTCAAATTTACTTTCTCCATTTACACTGAATTGTCTTTCCCAATCACTGTCTTTGGGATTAATTCAACCGTTGGCTTGGGATTGTTTTTAATTGCAGAAACCATCAGTGTCTGGGCTAGAAACCCCCCCTTCAATCCACCCACTCTGTTCCCATTTCAGATCCCAGGAAACATTAACTCTTGCTTCTCCATGGCCCCAAAACAAGTGGCATGGCCTGGCCCTGTGCTTCCAAGCTGGTGGCTCTTCTACGGAGAGAGACTTACACGTTCTGATACTTTGAAAAGGACACCTGAAATCTCTGTGGGATCTTTCCAGCAAGGTAACAGCCACCAGGAACTGTCTCCTTAATTCTTTCCCCTCCTCTCACCTGATAACTAAACTCATCATCTTCCAGATGCTAAAAAGTTTAATGAAAACAGTTAACAAGATGCTTCTCCTCCTGCTTTGCCTCTTCTTCCTCTCCTCCTGCTTTCTCTCCAGAGGACTCAGCTGTGAACTCCCACCAGCCCTTTCCTTCTGTGGCTGTTGCAGAGAAAGCTGAATAACTTGTTTTCCCCCCAAAAAGCTCAATTTCATGGAGATGTGTCCATACCCATCCCGATTCCTGTGCTTACACAGATCCAACAGCATCAGCACAGCTCTGGGAATCCTCCCACTCCAGACCTGCTTCTCCCTGCCATGAGCTGTTCAGAGAGCTGGCAGGCTCCAGGATTGAATGGAATTCTGGAATATCCAGAATATTAATGGAGTCCTTGAATATCCCAGCTTGGGATGGACCCACAGGGAACCCTGTCCCTGCCCAGCCACCCCAACAAGCCCACCCTGAGCACCCCTGGCAGCGCTGTCCAAACGCTCCTGGAGCTCTGGCAGCCTTGGGGCCGGGACCATTCCCTGGGCAGCCTGGGCAGTGCCAGCACCCTCGGGGGCAAGAACCTTTCCCTGAGCTCCATGCCAAGCTCTGGCACAGTTCTATGCCAATTTTGGCATGAGGGTTTGCACCTATTGAGAGAAGCCTCCAAGGACAGACACAGGAAATCCAAATCTGAGCTTGAGACATCCCCCTCTCTGCTCCTTCACTTGCCAAAATATTTAACATAGTAAGTTGAAACAACTAAAAATAGTGGGGTTTCCATACCTTGAAACAGAAGGGTACAACTCCTCCTGTCTGAGCTCCTTTTGTTCCCAGATAATGGAGGAAACTCAGGCATGACCAACACTGGCTCTGATAACTCCATTAGGCAGCCTTGAGCAAGGACTGCACAGGTACCTGAATGGCTCCTCAGGGATGTCCATGCTGCAGTTCCAACACCAAACACACTCCTGGCCACTGCAGGCCACCACATCAGCAGCTCTGAAGCCACTGACAGGTCCTGTACGTGGGCTTCAAAACCCCTTCAGGAACTGCACTCCCAACACTGCCATTTCTGTCTCTCTGCTCTCTCAGTCCTTCTGGGAAATTTCTACATCAAGTCCAACAACACCCAGGGAAGCTGCCAGTTGTTATTTTAAGCACTTTGGCAAACCTGGTTTGTAGATGTTGTGCCTCTGATCTGTTCCATTTTCAGCAGAACTAGCTCACACTTTCTTCTGAGAGTCTTACTTCCACACATGACACCAGGCGGCCTTTGGGGTTTTTTTAACCTGAGCAATTAGCAGTTCTTAAAGAGACTTGTGTCTCCCATTAACAGAGGAAATGAGTCTACAAACCAGGGAAGTTGTTCAGCACAACTCTATTTCTTTACCAAAACATCACCATGCAGAAGAACCGACTTCACTAAACACAAGAGGAAAGAGAAGGCGCTTGCTTGCTGCTTCCAAGCCCATCTGCCCAGCTGCTTCCCCATCTCCCAGCAGAAGTCATTCCCAAATGTTTGTACCACCTGTAGCAATATTGTGTCTGACTATTAAAGCTGAGGCTGCCCCTGGATCCCTGGCAGTGCCCAAGGCCAGGCTGGACTGGGCTTGGAGCAGCCTGGGACAGTGGGAGGTGTCCCTGCCGTGGCACGGGTGGCACTGGGTGGGCTTTAAGGTCCTTTCCAACACAAACCATTCTGAGATTCTGTAATCTACAGAACCAAGATGTCCCAAAAAGAACAACAGAGTCCCATGTACAGACAGGAGATTCCAGAACACTGGACTGAAGCACACCAGGTGTCACAGCCCATTAAGGGGTTTCCTATACAGAGAAAAAACAACAGAAGTTCAGCAGAGCATCGGTGCCACCACAACTCCATCTCCCTCAGGAACAACTCTGCAGCTGCTGCTTACTCCAGGCCAAGTGTGCAATGGCACAAGTGACAAGATCCCAGTTGGAATATTTATTCTGCAATAGAGAGCATCGTTTATAGATGCATCCCTAATGATGGGATCAGTGAACACAGACAGGGGAACCCTCCTGCTCCCCCAACAAAAAAACCCCACATTTGTCATAGAATCATCCCAGACTGATTTGGGTTGGAAGGGATGATAAAGATTATCCAGTGCCACCCCTGCCATGGCAGGGACACCTCCCACTGTCCCAGGTCACTCCAAGCCCTGCCCAGCCTGGCCTTGGGCACTGCCAGGGATCCAGGGGCAGCCACAGCTGCTCTGGGCACCCTGTGCCAGGGCCTGCCCACCCTGCCAGGGAACAATTCCTGCCCAAGATCCCATCCAGCCCTGCCCTCTGGCAGTGGCAGCCATTCCCTGTGTCCTGTCCCTCCAGGCCTTGTCCCCAGTCCCTCTGCAGCTCTCCTGGAGCCCCTTCAGGCCCTGCAAGGGGCTCTGAGCTCTCCCTGGAGCCTTCTCTTGTCCAGGTGAGCACCCCCAGCTCTGCCAGCCTGGCTCCAGAGCAGAGGGGCTCCAGCCCTGGCAGCATCTCCGTGGCCTCCTCTGGCCTGGCTCCAGCAGCTCCACGTCCTCCTGCTGCTGTTCCCCAGGGCTGGGGCAGCTCTGCAGCTGGGCTCTCACCTGAGCACAGGGGCACAGGGGCAGAATCCCCCCTGCCCTGCTGCCCACGCTGGGGGCTCAGCCCAGCACAGGGGGGGTTTCTGGGTCAGTGCCCATGGCTGGGACAGGCTGAGCCTCTCACCCACAACACCCCGAGTCCTTCTCCCCAGGGCTGCTCTCTGTATTTTACCAATTGTCTAAATCAGAGCACATTAGCCAAATTCTATAAAACGGGATCCAAAATTCAGAGGAAAAAATACTTTTAAAGAACAATTATTGCTGCTCTTCTCCCTTTAGGAGGTCAATCTCTACTTTCTGCACCTCACCAAGCACAGAAAGCACAGGCTTGGAGCACAGCACAGAAGAGGTGCTGCAGCTCCGAGCAGAATCACAAAAAAGCCCTTACTCTGTGTGGGAAGGCTTAGGGGAATATTTCAGCACATCAGGAGCTGAATCACTGCATGTGGGTGGAGCCAGACAGATTGACAA